GCTCACTGGCTGAGCGTGGTGCATCCGGTCTCAAAAAGGCCAAAAAAAAAGACATTCTGAGAGATGCTGAACAGGTTTGGAAAGTGAGGTTGTGCTTGACTAGGAATAGTAAGAAGGAGAAAAATGAGGGAAGAGGGAATCACTACGTATGACAGGATTATAGAGATACTCTCCTTTTGGGAAAGGATCAGGAATAGGTCTGGCAGACAGTAAAGGATTTCTTTAGGTATGCAAGAGAAGTCAGGCTCAGCTTTATAATTGTCTCTCTTTCCCAGGCCCCACCCCACACAGGAGGCTCTTATAAGAGGTTACAAAAGAAAGAGAGTGTGATATAAATGTCAAGGTGGCTAGTAGATGTGGGATAGGTAATTCAGTTGTCTGTTACAGAGAGTCTAACCTTAGCTCAACAAATGAGAACATGGTGTGCTAATTCCTCTGAAAGCCTAAGGGTTTTTTAAGTAAGAAGTAGTGAGTTCATTAGTCATTCAACAGATATTTATTAAGTACCTACTATGTCCCAGGCACTATGCTAGATACTGAGTGGACAGTGAAATATAACAAAGAATCAGTTCCCTTCTTTGTGCAGCTTATAGCCTAGTGAGGACATTAGAGAGCACATGAGTGTGAGAAAGGCTTGAGACTTCCAACATTTCTGGCAGTGAATTTTTAAAATGGCAAAAAAAGAAAGAAGATGCTCCCTTTTATGGACTGTGGTTGATTTTAGAATGCAAATTTACATGCAGAGCTAGAAAGACAGAAGACACCAGTGTAATATGAGGAGAGAACTGAATGGAAACCGAACAGGTCTGGTTTCTGCTCACAACACACAAGTGAGTTTTCCTGTAACCTTAGTCACATACCCCTTTTCTTTGGGGAGGGGGCAGTTTGCAGAGCCAGGGGGGTCTTAATTTTGGAAAAGACAATTGAATTGGTTTTTAGTTGGGGCATAAGCAAGAGGGGTGCCCCAGGCAGTAGACTCCTCGCAAGGGTGGGCTGGGGGCTAAGGCTAGGGCTGAGCCTCAGGTGGGTCTTCTGTTCCCCACGCTCTCCAGCACAGCTGCCTCCCCCACAGGCTCTAGGGCAGCCACAGGAGGTGGCAGGCTAGGAGGGGATGCAGTGGCCATTCACACAGGCAGGACATCAGAAGACTCGGACACCAGCTTCCCATCATGGGTCTTGATGTTTTTGACAACCATGCCTTGGAAGAGCTGGCACGGCTGCAGGAGCAGGAGCTCCCAC